CCATGCAATCACTCCAAGAACTATTATCCAGTTTCTATTCATCTCCAGAAAGTGTACCCCTTGTTTGGATTATGTTTTTACTATTAACTATTTTGTACTTAGCAAAGAGACAAGAAAACACAGCATCTCTAACAGAAAACTCATAACTAGCAGACTTCATAGAAACATAATATCATATGATCTCAGAAGCCTCTGAGGGATTTAGCAGACCAAAAATGTAGTTATAACTTTTGTAGCTTAAAATTTGTTTTCAATAACAAGAAAAAAAAAAAAAGTATGAAACATAGCATTCTCATTTCATACTGATACTCTAAACTTGCTTTTTATTATATTCAGCAACAAAGAAGGACAATACAAAGGGCCATTAAATTGTAGGCATGCAAACAACATCTAAAGCTTAATTTTTCCCTACAGTTTGAACGAGCAATCAGATTACTCTCCTGATCTGGACAGGCAAACGTGCCCACCAGCACTGTTCTTCTGAAAAAATAGCACCTTAAAGCTAACTGACACAACAGCTACCATAAATACGATAGCATGCTATTGATATGATAGGTATCTTCTCAAGCATAATACAAAAGAATTTATATAGAAAGGATTCTGAAAAAACTCAAGACCTGTACAAATTACCTTATTCTCCCAACACTCTGAGATGACTTTCAGAGTCATATAAACTATATTTGCAAACTTTCACACATAATCTCATGAAAAAATTGGGTAATTCTGTAGTTACCAGAGGGTAACTATATAGGGAATATTTTTGTGCTTTGAGATTTAAAAAACAAAACAAAACAACATCAAAAAAACACCACCACCACCTAACTTAATGCTCCATGCTCTACTATTTGTGCTTTTTACAGGTAAAATGTTGCCTCCAGGGACCAAAGTTACTGCAAGACCTAGTTTTCCACCAGCCATTACCTGAATCTGTCAGAAGACCAAGGCTGAACAGTGGCACCACTGGTATTAAGATTTCATCACAAATCCTGTGTGACTTTAGGGCGTGCAGATTATTAAAGGCACATCATACTACACAGCAAAATTACAAAGCCTTTACAAGGAACAGCTGAATTCTCTTAGAGACTCTGGACAGATGGCAGGATTTGACAATCACTAAATCAGATTACTCAAATACATTATTAGTTCTCCAGCCCAATATTCACTGTGTATTCCTAATGAAATTGCTGAATGAAAAGGGCGATGTGCCAAGCTTATAGCAAGTAAACAACAGAACTCCATTTTCCTCCAAGATCAACCTCCTCCTGATATGCAGTAAACACTTATAGAAATTACAAAAAACAAAGCTCCTCTTGAAAAAGGAGCTCATTATAAAGCACAAAAGATCAAAACCTAAATTCTACTTTTTTGTGTGTTTACTATTTAATCAAGTGTCTGTTACACTGTTTCTTTGTGACTATTAAGTAATTCAGGAAAATCAGGAGATCAGACTGACTGCCATAGAACCACCACACCAATGAACAAGCATAATGGGCTTTCAGGTATCTAAAATAACAGGTTCCACAAAGGCTTGACGTGCAGCTTCTCTGAGATAGTTCCATCAGCACTGGAATGAGTGCTTCACTGGCACTTAATGCTCAAGCGCAACTTGATGCTTGCAAGAAAAGATGCATGATTCTCCTTCGATTTCTAGAAGGCAATCCCAAGGTCCTGGTTATTCTCCTCTTAAAAGCACAAGGAATCAAAAGCTTTGATAGAACTACCAGGTTTGTATCCAAGCATTTATGCAGAGTTCTATTTTTCCAATGCATAATCAAAACATTATTGTGATGGAAATTACACTCAGTCATATTTTACTAATTCTCATAAAAACATTTTTGCCTGTCCTCCATGCACTGGCATTTCTTCTCCCTTGTCACCATACAGTTAATGCTCAGAAAGCAGAACAAAGTGATTATCACTGTGCATGACAAGGATTGTTTGCTGCAGCAATTACACCTCAGTGAGAATGTTATTTTTGTTTACACTCAACAGTGATAAAAAAAAATAATTCTAGATATTAGTTTATGCTAAATACACCCATTTTACACAGCTTGAATTTTGAGCAGGTAACACGCTTTAATGTAGGTGTGGCATTATTTTTAATGCAAAATTATTACACCTCTTTTGAAATCCTAACATTTTCTGCTATTAAATACATGGTCTCATTTTCATCAGCATGAGAGGTAGTTAATTTCATGTGCATCAACACAATGAACTAAAATGTATATTCTTTGTACCAAAGCAAACACAGTATCTGTATAGTCTATATATTTATTTCCTTAAATTTTTATCTGAGATATAGTCAGCATTTCAAGTTCCCAATGAAACAGTAAAAAAATGCAATTTTAGCTCCATAGACAAGTACTGTAATTTTCACTGTATGTTAAGATTTTTAATAATTAGAGATACATATAACTCATAGCTCATGAGTAGAATTTGCATACAGAGCACACAAAGTCTCCCTAAAACATTTCTACAATGGATTCCTTTTGTGATTTGACATGAGCTGAATGGTGTTGAACAATTTATTCACTATTGTTTGAGACATGCTATTTCATTAATTTCTGACTTTTAAACAAATGGGAGAGGTTGCTTCTATCTTTATATTAGCATACATACTGATTAACTACATTAATCATGCACAAAGGCCTGTGTTCGGCTAGGTGGGTCTTTTTGAATACATGGCAATTAAACCCTCCTACATATGAATCACTCAGCATTCACAGAGTACTTTCTATACAGAGTACTAAATGTTTACAAATGAGGCTGGCATATTTTATATAATCTGCACCACCTTGGTTGAGACAACTAAGGAGCGCTATTATTATATAAGTAACAAAGTCATAGGCAGATGCAGATTAAATAAAGTCACCTTATTCTTCACTCCCATCTTCCCATTATGGCTATGGCATCTAGACTCTGAACTTGACACATCACTCATACTGCTAGCTTGAAATAAATGGAATACCAATACAGGATAGCTTACATGTTTTGTAAAAATGTTATGATTGTTATTAGTTACGATTTTAAGAACTTTCCCACATATTCTAATACATTCAATCAAGACACACATTTTTCCACAGAAATCAAAAAAGTGAGATGGGCTGTCTCTGCTGAATTCCTAGTTCTGAAAAACACAAACGTCATCAACTCCAAGTTTAAAGCTGCAGCCCCAAAGGAATTTCGGAGGAGGAAAAAGGCCACTGACTCCTTCACAGCCTCCTTCACAATGACAATAATAAACAGAAGAGTCAATATGCTAATGGTCACTGTGCTGCTTATTAGAGACAATGTAAAATGAAGCCCCTGTCCCCTGGGAAATTCTAATATGTTTTTCTTTCCAACTACCAACAAAAACTATTTTTAAAAGATCAAAAGTAAAAAACTCTTTTCCCATGGGAGATGAAGTGTAATATATCCAACTGACCTCACTGAACATTTTAATTTGAAACAAAAGCACTTTGGCTCTCACAAAATGAAATACCTTATGTTCTGTTAAAAATATTTTAACAAGGGATTATTACTATTATCTGTATTTTTAGTGTTGGGGCCTTTCATTACCTTCCGTTAAAAAACACAAAGCAAAATTGTAAACAATATTTGGCATGCAAAGCAAATGACAGACTAGATTATCATTTGTAAATAATGTATTAGATTTAAGAACTGAGATTTTACAAATCCCAAAACAATACCAGGGTGCATTTGCTTAAACTGAACTACACAAAGAAACAAAATATGCCTACTTACAATTTCTGTACTTATATCAGTTAGGAATTACTTCTTACACTGTATCCTGCAGAAAGGACATTTCCTTTTTTCATTATTATTAATACTTGTAAAAATTAGCATGGCCTTAGCATTTTACTATTTGTAGTTGAATTAGCTGGCCTTTCATTTTGTCTTTAAACCAGCCATTTTCATGCACAGTTTATCTGCGTATAAACGATTCAGTAACAGCAGTTTGTCACCTTCATATATATTATTGATGAGAAAACAGACAACCCACCAATTAAGATGCATGCACTTGCCCCTTCTCCAGGCTCAGCCCGAGGTACTGATGAAACAGTTGAAGTAAAAACTCAGTTTTACATTTCAAAGAAAGTTCAAAGGCAGTGCGAAAAGACTGCCCTGCAAAGGACACAGAAATTGTATTTATTGCTGGAAAAGTTTATTTAAGGAGTAGACTATATTATTTACTCAGTATGATAATCAAAATCACACTATGAGTCCACATCTTGTTCAACAAGACATTCTACTTAAGTTTTCCTTTCAGTCTTGGATTGAATCTACAAATCTGACAAAATGATAGTTTGAACATTCTTACAACACTAGTCACAGCTTAGTATCAAAGATACATAAATAATGGTTAAGACATAAATCAAGCAAATTTAACTGGATTTCTGTTTTTGTTGCCACCTCAAAAAGACATACAACAATATTTCTTGGGATACAAAATATTGCCAAGTGATAAATTAAAGGAAATATTAAAAGTATCTGAAACTGGGATATATTTAGATGGACAAACAACCCTGAGATCACTTGTCTTCTCTGCTTTCATCCAAATTCTTGGGTTGTCAAAAATCACCGAGACACTCCATAAATACTACTTATTCCACAACCTACTAGTCCTTTCTAAAGTAAGTATAGCAAGAGAATTTATCCAACAGACACTATCTAAAATAAGATATTCTGCTAAAAATATATATTTGAAAGAAAGTAATATTAAATGAAATCACATTTTCTGCATAACGTATCTCTAACCCTGTTTCTGGAAAACCACATGGCCTCTTTCCTCTGTTTCTGAACGTAAGACTAAATATCCCACGTTAAGACACATTTATGCAGCTGTTAATGAAAGTCATAAATACAACAGACATTTCATGATACAACTTTGCAATGATAACTCCAGACTTATAAATGTACCACATTTACACTGTAAATTAATGAAAAAGAGCTGAGCTAAATCAGCACTAGCAGAGAACACAAAATATTTCTCTTACCTCCATTTCTGTGCAGTGTAAACGGCTCGATTTATCTGTAATATGAAAAAAACAAGTTTTCAGAATAAGTACAATACTATGGAGAAATAAAGCTAAAAACATAAGTCTTTTTTTACAGTAATTTTCAAATATTCTTTGCCTTACTTTAAATCACAACATTTCAATAATGTTTCCATTATATATGCATCACAGAATTAACAATAAGAAGGCCCTGCCCTTTTTATTTGGATCCTTCACAATACTCCCTTTCAAAAAGATGTGTCTTTAATGTCGGACTTCATTATTTAAATTGTGTGACTGATGCTTGGCCATAGAGAGAACATGAAAACACACTGGTTTAAATTAAGCAGCAGCAAATCATTATTTCAAGAGAAAAAACAACATTAATTCAAAACCCAGGGAAAAGTCACTGTTTCATCTGATACTTCCGGGATATCAAAGCGTTCAACAACAACACGAAGCCCAAGCATATTAAAGTTGAAACATTACTGTAATATTTTTTTTAAGTCCCTCTTGTTAATTTTTGCATTTCTTCCAACTTCAGAAACATCGGTTTGGAACTTATATAATACAGAAAAAATCAGTTTCTGAATTATTTCATCAAATGGAAATCTCAATTTTCTCAAAGACAAACCACTTTGGTATACAAGTGTGAGTGGCTTCACAGCTTACAAAAAATAAGACTGAAATTTCACAGCATATGAGGAAGGTACCATTTCACTAAAAGCAGCAAATCTATCATTTCATATTAATAATTCATATCAAAGTCGGGTGAAGTAATTCTGACACGATAATTTTCTGTTGGAAAAATGATATTCAAGAAAGTCAAGTATTCCACAGAAATCTATCAACTTCAAAGGGACACTACCCAAACCTTTCATTTCAAAACAGACAGGTATTGAATTTTACACTTTTTGTCTTTGCTTTTTGGCTGCATTGCACCTGCACTGCTAGTTTAAAATTTGCAACTTTGGGCCTGATGGCACTCATGCTAAGAGATACACAACACAATTCTGAGTCCCTATGTACTCAAAAACTAGAACAGCATTTGTTTGCTTGACTGTGCATACGCTGAGAGCATATGTAACAGGAGATGACTGGTGAACACCATCCAGTATGGCCAAAGGATTTACTGCAGTAGTTAGGAAAAGCCTGCAATTTGTAGCCTTAACTGAAGGACTGCTTTAACAGATTACCCAGCGAGCCCAAGGAAGCTCAACCAACTGGTTAGCATAAACATCTGCACAGAGGAGTGATCACGCTGACTTCACATGTTAAATCTGAAAGGCATGCAAAACTGTCAGCACTAAGGAAGAGTCACCTGCATAGAAAAAAACATTAATTTGCCATATTGAACTGGTCACCTTCCCTTTGAAACTAAAGGTTAAACACATCTTGAATGAGTATGGAACGTAGACCTAACACAGTGAAAGCTGTTTACCCTCATTTTGAACTGTTGTCAATGCAAGCTGAATGCTTAGCACTGGTGTCTGACTTCAAAATGAAGAACAGAGTGAATTAAAAAGGTAGCTTTTGCATCATGTATCTTCTTTTCAAAAGGATTGGTGATTCTGGTTGATTCACTTCAAGATCCACATAAGAAATTTATTTGTGTTTAAAATAGTAACATTCATGTGACCGTTCTATATTACAATTGGGAGAAACTTTTTTTGAATACTCCTATGATTATTAACAGATTTATTAATATTAGGGGCTATTTATGTGAAACTCAAATGACAGATGACCAAAACAATGTATCTCCATAATACAAGATGATACAAGACTAATTCACAGAAATGTAGTCAAGATGGGGGAAAAAAGTATGCTGCCATCTTTGGAAAAAAAAAAAAAAAAGTACTATTTTTTAAAATTACTACTTCAGAAAAAAGGTAGTAATTTTAAACCTATAATGATGCAATGGCATACAGAAAGCCACCAGTGTCTGCAATCACTGATAATTTTAAATATGTTGATTTGCATCTCCTATGGTCTATTGGAACAGGAGTCAAACTGTCTATTAGAACTTCCGTGTGACAGACACCAAGTACTCATTGTTAGCCCTCAGAGCAATGTTGAGATCCTATGAAGATCCTTCTAACAGAAGTCCTAATGAAGTCTTGAAGCGCAAAACCAAATACATCAGCCAAGACCAAAACAAGTAAAGCAAAATTTGAATTTATGAAAGGAACAGTAATAAGCTTATCTCATAGCCTGTGATAGATCTTCTCTGAGAAACTTCCACAAAAGCTGTTCTTCAAGGAAAAGCACTCAAACTGCTGAAACTTTCCTTATTTCATATCTGGTACTATCAAAATTAACTACTGCTTTCAGAGTAAATCAAAATTCATTTTTTTGTTTTGTTATAAAAATACAGGGAATATCTTACACTGGATTATTCATTCCCAGCATTTTAAAAAACAATACTATTGTCATGATTCCATATGTTGGGGAAGAAAGGGGGAATAACAAGTACTTTAAGTCTCACACCAGCTCAAATGCACTGCAGACAGTACTCTAGACAAGTGCAAACTACTAATTGACTTGCAACATTTTAATATATACTGCATTATGGTAATTATTAACCATATCATTCCATATGCCTCTGCACCTTGAGCCCAGCTGTACACTTAGCAGATCTCCCTGAACTGTTTGCAGTGACTTATGGGCTCCCTTTGTCATGAATTTCCTACACTTCTGAAGAGACCAGCATTAACAGTGTTGACCCAAGAAACATGCACTTACTTGCATCTATCAAGTCTGAAATGAATTTGCTTTTGTATGGCCTATGCAAGTCAATTTACTTACACTGGCCTTACTTATACTAGCTAGGAGTAGAGATTTCTTCCCTCTTCAGATGACATGACTGAAAAAGCAGAACCTCTTAAATGCAGCCTCAGGGTCACACTTTTTGAATTTGATCGGGAGAAGAAAAAAATCCCTGTAAGAAGTCATAGAATAGTCTCTGCCTGCAAGCAGTATTAAGTGCTTATCTGGTAAATAGGTAAAGACTTACAAAATTATTTCAGTTTCTGCTTCTTAACACAGATGCAGACTGCTCCAGACTTCACAACCATTCAACTAGATCCTAATCTGTGTAGCATCTTCACCACTCTTACTGCCAAAAAAGATTCAACAGTATTTTTCCATGACAGTTTTCAAATAGTGACTAATGCATTCATTACTAGTAAATAGCATAACTTGAATTGTGAAGTTAACTTCAATTTATAAACAAGCTACACTCTGGAAGATTATATGATTTTTCACTCAGATTGTTGCAATGCAAAAAAAGAACATTTTTTTCAAGAAGGAGAGACTTAAATTGGAGGTTTCCTTTATCTCTGAAAACAGTCTTCAAAGAGACATATTTGCCACCAAAAAAATAAAAGAAACCCTAAACTTTCACATTCTTTCTCCATTCCTCAAAATTTCTATTTGAAAATTATTCTTACTTCAAACCCTCACCGAGCAGGGTCACACCAAATTTTCATCAAGCATCAGGGCAGACTGTCTCATCCCTCAAGGCAGGAGCTTCAGGCTGCTATTCAGACTTGAAAAAAACATTATTTTCAAAAAAATCTCTCAGAGTGCTGTTAAAAAAAGACCATACTTATAGCCTGTGCTTCACTGAAGCACAATTTCCCTGCCTTCCAAGGATTAACAGGTCATGGTTAGAAAGGGTCTTCATAGATTTAAAAACAAATAGCAAGCGTAGCAGGTACTACTGCCAATAGTAAGAAGCACACATTTAAGGCTGAATTTTAAAATCAAAATAGATAATTCAGCATGTTAAAATGGGCTGAAACAAGACATTTGTAAGAAAGCATGCAGGATGTGCAAAACCATTTGCACTCTGCTATCTGAAAGCTACAGAGTTGATGTTAGTGATGTGACACCACAATCACAAGGCTGCTGTTTCAGCTCTAACCAGCCTTCAAGCATCTTCCTAGCCTTCCTCTAGCATCTCAGATTCCTCTGCATAGACCCAAAAGCATTTGCTTCTAGACAGGTTCTTGAAGAACTGAAATTATTACCACTTGATTTTCAGGCAACAGTGTAGCTGATGTACGCATCGGCAACAAACCTGAAACTCACTTTGTATTAAAGATTAATATTCTAATTACATGCCACAGCCCATTTCTGCAGGTTTTGGGTTAAATCAAGCTGTTATTTCCACAATAGCAGAGTTCAAGCTGCCTTCAGGAAAGACAGCCACTGCCCATACGTACTGGAGCACAGCAGAAGAGGTGGCTGAAGACGAAACAGGGGCTAATCAAAGGACAGGGAGCAAGGGAGAACACAAGAGTCACGAACTCAAGATCCTTAAACTGAATAGTCTTCAGTTAGGCCCCAAATTAACGACAAGTTGAATTTGTATCTGCTTTCTAGCTTTTACACCTTCAAGAGGCACTATAGCTACAAAAGTATGCCTTTCCTTGCTCTTAAGAGAACGAGGAACTCCTTTAAAAAAAAAAAGAAAAAAAATCCAGACTTGCATTTAATCATCTGCTTGCAGGAACTTGAGCATTAGTCACCAAATCTGACAAGATTGTCAATGCAAGAGTCAAGATTAGTACTAATAAAAGGAAGAGGTAAGACCAAGCAACACAAGGAAAAAAAATGAATATGCGAAGAGAAGGATACATAATTAAACGAAAGGAGGGGAAAATATTGGTGTAGCAGGAGTAAGCCAGACTTCTGGCAGAGAACAGGTATTACAAGATAACAGAAGAGGACAGAAATCTTGCCTAATAAAAAGAAACAGAAAAAAAGTGAAAACAATAAAGACAAATATAGGTACAGCATAGCTTAGGAGTAAGAGCCATCAGACTGCAGGGAAGAAGGTCAATAATAGCGAGAACATAAGGAGGTGGAAGGAAGCAGAGCAGATTATGAGAGGTAATCAGAGACCCCTCAGAGCAGCAAACACAGAGACCCATGTCTTAAAGTAAAACACTTAGGCTTCGAGGACCAACATATCCTTCCTTTAAACTGTGCAATTAGAAGGCAACTAGAAAAGGGATGAGTTTTTACAGCT